AATTTTGAAGAGTATCTCCTACTCGTAATTGATCACAGCATTTTGAAAAATTCATCCAGTATGCCTTTCAATTTATTATCTTTGTATCAAAGGCTCTTTTTTCTTTCATGATCCTATTTGATTACAGATTAATTTCACTAATAGTATATGAGCGAAAAGAAGATTAATAAAATTTCAGGAGCGTTCAGCCAGTATCACTCCTAAGGGAGAAATGATTAACTCCAGATATGTAATACAACATGTAATAGGCTTCAAGTGATGAATTATAGTTCAATATCTTTAGAGAAAACTCAAGATGTTGAAGGACTATGTGGAGTGTTGTTTGGAGTTTCGGAGTGTTGAAATTCCGGTATATCGTTTCCCCCTTGATTTGTTTTTGAAGGGCACGATGATAAGTACAGTCAATTGCTACTTTGAATATTTCAAGAGAAGGTGACGTCTGCAACCATTGAATACAACTATTAATATGTTATGCACATTTTGAGTAGCCATAGGAAATGGAATTTTATATTATAATTGAGGCTATATAATTTTTCCTTTCTTTAAATTAAAAAGCTTTTTTTACCATGACAACCAAGCAGACTTACAGTTAGAATTTACACTATACCACGAACAAACGAATACATCATTGAGCCGGTATGTTCAGATAAGCAATAGCATCAAGAAGACAAAAAAAGACGAAAGCGACAGAAAGATCATCCCAAATAAGAACAGACAGATGTTTATATATACAAGAGAACGAAAGGGCAGATAAAAGGATTTTATACGGCACCATCTAAGCAAAGAGAAAAGAAATAGAAGAGCGAGAATATAGAATGATTGGTAATGATATACATTATACATTTGTTTGAACTTGAACAAGTTTGATTTGCTAAAAAGCATTTGCCATTGTTGCCACATGGATTTTCTGACTGATCACAATCATATGTTGTACCTTGGTTAAACGGAAAACAAGTTGAAAAGCGATCTTGATCACATACACACATGTATATTTCATTATACAAACACATCAATTGTTTGTTTTGTCGACAGAACAATGAATAATATTCAACACGATGAAGATAATGATAAGTTTTGAATGTGTTGTTTGAATATGTTCGGATTTGATAAATTCTTCGCATTTGAAAGTTAAATAGAAATCACCGTGGAGAAGTTCCCGAGATACAAGTGAAATGGGCATGTTGTCAGAATGGTTATTTGATTTTGTCGATATTTAATTTGTTTTAGCATCGTGCTTTGAGCATGAGATCAGACGTGTCATAAATTGTAATTAAATGAATTAAAACAGGATTTTTTGTTGAGATGGTTCGATTGATAACTTCAATATCAATCCTATTCTGATTATTTTCCCACCGATGTCCGAAAAAGGCTTCTTTACAAATGCATGTGAAGTTATCTGCAGAAATTCGGGACACACTGTCCATCTTTTTGATAAGGATTAATTTTTGATTGATATGCTCTATGTTTTTGACAAAATTTTGTACCAACTTTATACAATTGACAGATGCGTATGGACGAATAGAGACAGAATGAATCGGATGAACATTTAATCCTGAATACCCCTGAATCGCATAGACAAAAATATGGTGAATTTTTGTCGATATGTTTGAGATATTTTCCATGATTTCCACGTGTTAAGGATAGAAGGGGATGAGCAATTGTGCAGCAATACGATCGACTGGAAAGAATGAGAGTGGGATAGGTAAGAACAAACTTGCCCAATGTGTTAAAGTTATCCGATTGAAAATATCAATACGGATTGAATAATTTATCGAAGAATTCTTTAGTCAAGAAAGATAAAGTAAATAAAAATGATATTTGATTTCGCAATCACGCTTTGGCACGTGAATAGTTTGATCATCTATGAGCATTACGACTACCTGAAAAATGGGCATTTTATGTGTGAACCTGATATGTTAACTTTGCCGTTGGCATCGTGAGCCGAATTAGACTAGAAGAAGAATTGATGGAAAATAACCTACACGTGATGATTGAAGAAAGATGGACGCAGTCGAATTCCATAATACGAATTCGAATTGAATCTGTACATCTCTTGTTTGTCTCTAAGAATCCTATACCCAGTATGACGGCCAGGCCCAGAATATATAGGCATTAAACAAATGTTCTGATTGTAATCGACATTCGACAATATGAAATGACCTTTAGAAAGACGTTACATAGTAACGCATTTTCAGTCATTTCAGAATAAGTAATTCATATAATTTTTAACAATATCACTCTTAAAAAATACAACAGAAGAAGGTCTGAACGGATTAAATTGAGTATAATAATCTACTAGTTGTAGTACTGGTAAGCAATCGTATTTGCTGCATGGTATTAGCATTATATCATAACAAATAAGCTCGTTCGCTGAACATATGTGGTTAGAACAATCAAGTTCATCAATACCACTCAAACAGTGCAAGTGTTGGTTATATCTAGTGTTCGGAATATCGCATGGCCGTAAGTTGAAATCGTTTTCATCCGTATCCTCCATTTTGATTTCTTCCCATAAATGCTGATAGCGATCTCAAAAATATACAAATCGAAATGTTTTGTGTAGGCCGATCCATAGACTATCAACACTCCCAATAGAATTTGTCGTTTTACTAGTTGATAAAGATTTTTCATTTCCAATAGTTTCTAAACATCCTTGAAAAATAGTTGCCAGAAGAGACGGAATCTCCTTCTGTGCTTCTTATTATTAGCGCAACAATAATGTAGATCATTTTGCATTCCAATATCTACCAAACAAAACAGGTATCTTGGACATCGAGTTGCAATAAAACAGATAAAATCTGGTGTGATATAATTTGTTGATAACGATATCGATCGATTTGTCAGATAAACAAATTGAAATGATGAATAAAGTAGTGGGTACTCAGGAAAGACGAGCTGTTTCAATGGACGATGTTGCAGAGGCATTTCACAAAGAGTTCGGTTTTGCAGATGCGAAAGAAAATCAATACAATCAGGATGAATGAAACGCAAGAGATATTTGTTGATATGCTGAATTTGAAATGTAATCGAATGAAGTAAAGAGAGCCGTTTGTCATGTGTCGATTTCGTAAGCTTTCACAGAAGCTATAGAAACAAGGCATTATATGTTACTTACTTTAACTATCGCCAAATGATAAGTAATGATGAAGTCCATGTGCCACTTCTTCACAATCAAACGTCGAAAATGAGATACATCGGTCTTCAGATTCTTATGCTATGCCTTTCATCGTTTGAACAATGATTTTCTTCTAATAAATCGCAGAATTCTTCGACTTCGCCATGAACATAATCATAAACACCATCGAAGATTTCACATCAAATGAGACACATTGATGACGAACCACGAAAATATATCAGCTTAAGAATGAATATCAGGTGCCAACGGGAAAATCTATGTTCAATAATAGTGAATCATGTCTAAGAGAAGTTTTCCGAACCAGTATACCAGATGGAATTTGTTTATCATTAATTAATTGATATTGACATGCTGAACCAAACCAAAGAGATGAACAATTGTAGATGAACAAACAATCGAACGTCTGTTCACTGTTCGTATGATAAAATAAGTAACGAGAATAACGTATGAGAAATGTTGAAAGAATTATGAATAATTCGATCAGTTTTATCTTCAATCGAATCAGCCAAAAGAATTCTGAGCTCTGTTTTGATTTTTTTTCTCGTTTTTCGTTCATTTTTTGCTAACGTATATTTGAAAATAAAAACAATATTTTTCCTAAAAGTTATCTCTAAAAAGTAATACTGCATAAACGTCATCATATGATGTTGTATTCAATATTTTCGACGATATTACTAAGCATAGTTAGAAATTCAAGATAAGTCGAAAGATATTTCTCCATATTTTACTTTTGTTTCTACGAACAAGTTTCTCTCGATGATTCTCATGATGAAATCATTCATTATCATTTTGCTTAAAGGTATTTGTTAACAACACACTTTTTACATACATAGTATCAAATAAAATTAAAAATACAACAGATCAACTCATGCAAATCAGTCCATCGGATACAAAATATGACTTTTTCATAAAATCAACCGCCTTTGTAAAAACATTATCATTACTTAATACAAATAGCGATTTACAAAATTAATCGATGTATCAAAATTTATAAAACAACAAGATGTTGAGGATAAAATAAAATCACAAACAAAGAATTTTACATGTATATTGACCCCCTCAATTTGAACGGTAAATACTATTGTTTGAGTATGGTTCAACGTGATTAATTTAGGCACATTTGCATTCGAAAGATTAAAATTAACAGTTGAAGAAAAAGTACATTATGTACTAAAAAATAATTCTACAATCAAATCACATGTTGTATGGCCAGAGACAATACATCATATTACAGTCGTTTTTCTCCTTTAGTAAATGAATGATTGCTATTTGAAATACAATTTGCAATCAAAGATACGTTTCATCGACAGCCAATTTCATTCAGTTACAGGTGAATTTCTTTCCAATCAATAAAAGTTGAATGGTAACACGTGAAAAGATTTGGACAACGATCTGGTACTTCGAGCAATCAACAAAATCATATGACGAAAACTTATTCAGTTTTTTTTCATTGTAAAAACCGTTACCAATCAAGCGTATCTTTTCCACTTGCTTTCTAACGAACGAATTGAAGAGAAAACTTTCTTTCTGTTTTATTTCTTACAGTTACACAAAACACAAAACTTAAGCCAAAGGAACAACGACGATATGATTGGTAGTAATAACAATAACTCCAGCAAACCAAAGGTTGAATTTCTACGAGAACATTAAGCTTGAACTAGATGCGTGAGAAAACATATGAGAGTAATCAAAAGAGATAAAATACCGAACGGAAAACAAAGAAAAAACAGGAGAACAGAAAAGAAAAAAAAAGATTGAAAGACCGACAAAAAAAACATGATAAATGAAAAGAAGATTAAATCACAGTTCTTTTTGTATATATAGTTTCAGTCCGATAAGAAGAAAAAAATTGAAATAATTTAATTTAAGCTTTTAATATAACAGCCTCTTTATCTGATACAGGATTTGTATCATCAATTGGTATGATATCATTTATATTCTTTAATTTTTCATAACCACGATGAGATGGCCGACTGCCAGTGCGTGAGCCGCTTGTTCGACGACCTTCGAGAACATATGCCATTAACTTGAGAAAAGAAAAACAAAGAAATTGAAAAATGACAAGACATCGACGTGAAACAACTATAAAAAGTAGCTAGGATTACAAAGTATGTCAAAGAGGAGACAGAGGGACAAAGACAATTTTATGAGAAAAACATAGAGACGGACGTTGGTTGTTTTTATTTAGTTATTTATTCTAAGATGACTGGGACAAGCGTTGATATCGTGTTGAACTCGAACTGCTGCCATTACGACGTCCAGATGATGAACGGTTTCGTCTACAACCTTCAATTAATAAACCCAAGACCTAAAAGAAGCATTAGAAAAGAAAAAACAACAACAACAACGTCCGTCTTGTTTGTTCTCTGTTTCTTGCGAAAGACACTCATTATGCGAGCACATACTTTATTCTTATTATGTAAGACCAAGTAACCAACAACGACGAATAAAGTAAACAAAAGGAAGTATGTAACGAAACTTCCAGACCAACCATCATCGTCACTGTATTTACGTCCAACTTGTGGTTCTAAACAAAGATTGAAAAGTACAAACAAAACATAGTTCATATGTCTTACTTGCTCGTGCTTTTCCTTTGTTTGGATCTAAGGGAAAATGGAGAAGGTGGTGTACTCTCTCACAGATTTAAACATACCTGCTGCAACTGGTTTTGCTGTATATTTATCTAAATTAGAAAGAAATTTGCCGGTTTTTTCCTTTTCAAATCGGAGGAAAACTAAGGGTTCCTATTTACCATTTGCATTTGGTTTACGGAATGAGATGCCATCGTTGTCAGCATCTTTGTTTCCAGCTAAAAACAAAATAGAAATGAGACAATATTCTCAGAGAAAAGCGCAGTGAACTTTTCCATATTAGTCCAACGATAAATAGAATATAAATAAGCATTCCTTTACAGATGCATTTTTAACTAAAGGGATATATCAGTGTTTTATCAGGTATAAAAGCAGAAGAGAAAGCAACCTAAGTACCGAACTAGATAAAACACTGAGACGGGTACATATATGAAAAATACACATCATGCTTAGATTCATTCTAATGAAACCTTGATATTCTTCGTCTTCGTTGTTGTTAGGTACATTTTCTAACTGATTTTGATCAGCAGGCGTGTTTGCTGCATCATAATCATCATGAGATACAGGTTCATTATTTCCTACATCATTGGTGATAAGAAGAAAAAGAAAACTGAGATGATTTCTTTCAACAAACCTAGTTGATCTTTTTTATCCATATCATCGACTTTATGTTTAGTTTCGTCATCTTTGTCGTCGTCATCTTGATCAGTATCGGCATCTTTGACAGCATCTGTTGGTTTCTTCTTTTCTAAACAGATAAAAAAAAGAGATAAATCAATGACAATCCTAATCTACGGGCTAAGTCAATTTTAAATTAAAAAAAGAAGAGGAAGCAATAAAAACAAAGCAACAAAGAAACGCAAGTGAGCTTTTGTAAATATAAACTAAAGAATTCAATTGATATTCTAGTCATGGTGCAGATCAAACTTATAGCAAATGATTACCAGGTTCGGTTACTTTCTGTGGGTTTACATCAATTGCTGATAGAGAAAGGATAAGTCATCTTGAGGTTTTATGTGATTTTGGTTGATTAGACTTACGACTAGGAGTGGTCACTTCCAATGTTTTATTCGAACTTTGTACTCCTACAACTACCGTTGTACGACCGGCTTCTTTCTCTTTTCATTACAAAGATAAATGAGTATCAAAGAATAGAAATCCGTCGAGAATGACTTACGCATGGTTGTAACTTCAACATTATCTAAATTTAATAAATAAAATTATTCGATCTACTGTCTATTGTCAACTCGAGTCATCTTTAGATGGGATGAAATGAGAGCATGAAATGTATTACATACTTGTGGCATCATCTTTCTTGTCTGTCGTGTTTGGCTTGGGAATTTGTTTGACTAAGAAACGAAGAAGAATGAGTAATGTCAAACAAACTATTCATCATACCTTGCCCATCGTCTTTGACCGTACCATCTCCATTACCATCGTCATCTGAATCGCGAATTGTACCATCAATAAAGTATATACAACTCGAATCTTACCCTTTTCTTCTTCTTCATCAGCATTTTGATCGGTCTTTTTGTCTTGTTTTAAATCCAAGACCTTTCCTTGATCATCTGAAGAGTAAAATCATTAAAGAATCGTTCCTTTGAGAACAAAGAACTTGACAATTTTTTTACCAGTCGCCTTGATTTCTGTGACGTTTTTTTTAGTAAGTTTATTGAGAAATTCTTTTCCTTTTTCAACGATGGTCTTGCTTGCATTGGCTACAAAATAAGAAGAACATGCGAATATTGAATTCGTTTTTATCTTACCAACTTTATCTCCGGCATCTTTCGACAACTTTTTAGCATTAGTGAGTTTATCTTTCTTACTGTCTGCATCTTCGTCAACGTTTTTCTTCGTATCGACAGTTTTATCCTTATCGGCATCATCGTTGTCATCCTTGTCTGATTTTACTTTTGTTTTGTCGTCAGCATCGTTTTCGGCGTCGTCATTATCATCTGCTTTTTGTTTGGGCTTTTCAGTAGTTTTATCGGCTTTCTCTTTTCTAGATCCACCAGCATCGTCAATTTTACTTTTGGCAGTTTTCGCAGCATCTTCAGTTTTGCCTTTCACATCGGAAATCGCCTTATCGACTTTTTCCTTTGCATCCTCGGCAGTTTTCTCAAGTTTTTGTTTGACTACTTGACCTCCTTCAGCTAATTTGTTTTTAACGTTCTCAACACCATCAGTAAATTTCTGTTTCAGAGTTTTGGTCTTTTCAATCGTTTGATCTGCATCATCTTTGGCACCGTCAATGGCAGTTTTTGTTTTATCCTTAGCTGCAGTAATTGCAGCGGCAGTCTTGGAAATCGATTCAGTCAATGTTTGTTTGCCCAGATTGGATTTTGTGCCGTCTGAAATAACAAAACAAAAGTATTTTATCTACTAGGAAAATTTTCTGTGTCAAACATGGAAAAATGAAATATATTTTGCATCATCGCAGAGAAGCATTCCAGAAATGAATAGCTCATTCATAGAAATCTTCAGTCAACAATTTCCGCCTACCTTTTGATGTTGTTGAAAGATCCGAATTTCTCACATGTGGTGCTGCTCGATAGAAAAATCTTGCTAGTTGACGTGTCGTTTCATCATTAGCCACCTTGTCGCATAACTCTTTGGCGGTCACATCAATTTGTTTTTGCCCGTTGTTTGTGAGGACATTCCATATCCATTGATTGGTTAGTTGGATAGTTGTTGAAAAACATATTTCTTTTGGTGTTGACTTTTTCGAATATATGACTGGTGATGGACGTCCGTCTTTGTCAAACTGACAAGCTTTCTTCAGTTCATAAGCAATCATATTACATAAAATTCGATTTTGTTTCTTCGAATCGGATCCACAGTATGTTTTCAAGTCTCCACTGAATGCTGTATAATCGTCATTATGTTTCACAAAGGTACGAAGATCACAATCGGGTGACGTCGTTTTTATTGCTGATAAAACATCAATTGCTTCGAGTTCATTATCATCTGCTCCGGAAATTGAATTTCCATGGAAGAAAATCAATGATAATACAATAAGGAATAAATTCATATTGAAAGAAATGTATCTGAAAGTAGAAGCAAAAAAGTTGATTGTACGATCGACACTAATAAGCAAAATCCTTTGAAAAAGAAGAGGACAAAATGTGTAAAATGAATATAACATGTAAAACATCTATGCTTATAATCATGGTCGTCCTTTTTTCTTCCTTCGTAGTCAGGTTTTTTTTCTGTGCGTCTCATGTAACGAACAAATTTCCTTAGTAGGACGTTTTTTTTCTTCTTCGACGATGCACGATCAATAACCTTCCGACAGGTTTTTCTCCTTGTATTTATGATACGGACAGATGATTTTGAATGTACAATACTGATAGTTATTTACCTGTATGATCAACAACGGAAAAAAAGAAAAATGTTCTTTTTTTGTAATTGACGAACTGGTGGAAACGAACGAGAATGTAAAGAAAGAAAAAGAAAAGTTTGTAATTTTATAAGAATGTTTAACAGTGGTTCTGTTAAAAAGAAGAGAGAAAAATAAATAAGTTATTCAGACACTAGTCAAACTTTGCCATTTTTTTAATCTATAAACATATTTTGTCTCGACAACGCATTGTACTAATCAGAAAATTATTCATATAGATGTCGCCACACGACACACCCACTTTTAGTTGCTGGTCGCAAGTTGGAAAATTCTTTCAAATCACTTCAGTCTTGTGAAGGGAGAACGACGATGAGCAGAATTCTATCGGTTAAAATCTCTCAAATACTTTTCGTAGTAAGATTTTTTTTTCCATTGAGTTGTTTTGAAATGAGTCAATTTATACGAAGGGACATGTCTGAATTATAAAATCCTTGTTAAACAGACAGAACAAGAAAGAAACTACGCTTGGAGTTGGGTTTCTTTCTGTTCTTTTGTATCTTACATTCTATACTGTTGGCAATTTTTTCAACTTTCTCTTTCTTTTGTTATTGTTGTCGATCACCGAATATTTTTGTTGTAATGCACATGGAAAAGAAAGAAGTAGACGAAAACAGTAAGTTAAGAGAAAAAGAGATGACGATTTACGTAAGTGAAAGATGCCCATATCTAAATCAATCTAAGTATAATACAATCTATCCTATAATAAGTATTCATTTACAGGTAAGAAAATTCATACCTTATGACTCAACACATAGGTATTTCTTTGTTTCTTGAAAACATATTCTTGGTATTCTGAATGTTTTATCGTAATATTTCAGATGGTTCGAGTTTCAATTACTACTTAACATTTTGACGTTTATCTAAGCACCGCACTACTATGTTTCAAAAACAGATATCTAACGATCTAACTGCATACGAACCTATTCGAAATGGAATATTATTAGCGGATGTGACTATAGGAGCTCGGTTAAGAGATCAAAATGGTACTATACGATCTGCACATTTGACACTTTCATTATCAGAACCTATAGTTAATGTCATTACGAAATTCTTAAGAGTTTTGGATATTGAAAACATTCGTGCTGACGATGTTTCACTATCAAAGATATGTTCTGGAACTGAACAGAGAGATTTTACTACAAATATGAGATTCACAACATTGAACGATTTAAAAATTAAGCAAAATGACATTCTCTGGTTCATACTATTGATCGGTCCAGCGGCATCACAACTTCTCCAGCTTAATTTATTTAGACATGACCCTCCGTATCATGTTATTTATGACTGCGATAAGAATACAACCACACTAAAAATGTTACTTGACTATGTTATCGAAGCATTTGAACTAAAATCAATGGATCGTGAACAAATTCATCTCGTCACCATCGAGAGTATTGAACTCAATCATGGTGAAGATTCAAATAAACTATTAATTGAATTAGGTGTAATTCATGAGTCATGGGTTTTTGTTGAAACTATCGAATCGTGTTCTCGCCCGAAACCAACAATTCACGTTCTTTGCGCTCATACAAACGGAGATCTATCTTTAGAGGTACCATTTACAACAACAGTTAAACAATTGAAGAGTGTGATTGAAAAACAGTTGAAAGATCGTATTTTAATTGATTTCGCATTGTTTAACCGTATGCATGAAAAAATCTCTTTCACCGACCCAAATCAAAAGCTTTATGATTTTGGTGTTAAACCTGGTCAGATTATCTACGCATCGCTTCACCTAGCATTTTCAGGAGATCCATTATCTCTCATGAATACACGAAATGATTCGACAACAAAATCGCTGTCGCTGATTTCAAAACAACAATCTGACGACGTTACTCTTTCCTATGAAGAATCGACAGCATTTAGTCCAACATTAGTTAAAGTTTCCGTTTATAGTACTGTAGATGATGCAATCAAAAAGCTCAAACTACCTCACGAAAGCAACTTACGGGGCCACTTTCAACTCTCATGTGGATCGACATGTTTCACAAATGATGAACCATATCGATGTTTATCAAGTTATAGTATTCAACCCGGTGATGTTGTTCACGTAAAACGTCCACGAATGACACCTGTTCGATTATCTGACAAGAATGATAGCCTGTTTAGCACATCTTCTCTTCGCATGAGCATCTCTGACACACCTGTTGGTTTGTCTAATCTCGTAAACACATGTTATATGAATAGTGCACTTCAATGTCTCGCTCACACTATGCCATTAACTCAATTCTTTTTAAATGGTCTTACTCAGAATAATTCCGATGGAGAGAAAACCATGGACTCTGATTGGAATCAATTTTATACAATTGGTTCGGTGACAGGTTCGTATGCTGATGTCATACGAAATTTATGGATACCAAACAAAAGATTTTCCTCTCTTTATTCAAGAACATTCTATCCAGATCATATAAAAGAAACCATTGGCAATCTCGCTCCACGGTTCGCCACATCAGATCAGCAGGATGCTCAAGAATTTTTACTATTTCTTATTGATGAGATGCATAAAGAAATGAAAAAAGACATTGGAGATGATTCAAACACCATCATTGAAGAATTATTTTTTGGATCAATCGAATCAACCATCATCTGTACCGAATGTAAACACGCAGTAAAAACCACGAATCCGTTTAGTATTCTACCATTACCACTTGTTCAATCAGGTCGTCGATTTCATCTAACATTTATCGAAAAAAATGGTAAAACCGACACGATGACAATCCACGTGCCTGAGAATGGTCATGTTAAGGATCTTTTAGAAGCTTACATCGAATCTCGTCCTTTATATTGCTTTTTTTACCGTATCATACTCATGACTGATGATGACCAACTTGATTTGCAAACGCCACTATGCGAATTGACTGTCGATAATGTTGTTCTTGTTGAACAAGATGATTTTACAGGAAGTGAACCGTATAAACAATATAATAAAAGAACGAAACAATTAACTCTCGATGGTTGTCTGCGAGAATTTTGCTCAATCGAAAAACTCGAAGATTCATGGTTATGCGAACAAGAATCATGTAGAAAACATACAGAAGCGACTAAACAATTGCAGTTCTCTCGTCTTCCTCAAATTCTTATTATTCAATTGAAACGATTTTCTCATAAAGATGGCCATCGAGAAAAAATCGAAACATTTGTTGAATATCCCATGCAAGAACTTGATTTAAGTCATTTCTCGCCATCATCATCAGAAGCTATCTATGAATTATTTGCTATTATTAAACATACCGGTTCCATCTATGGTGGTCACTACATCGCATATGCACAACATGAGGCAAATGGAAAGAGTACTTGGTACGAATTTAATGATTCGTCGGTATCTTCATTTTGTTTGAAAGATCATATTGTTTCAAAAGATGCGTATCTTCTCTTCTACAGTAGAAGAGAAAAAGCCAAGCAATAACAATATCATTCTTCTCCGTTTGCTCATGTGTTTTAGACAAGAAATTTTGCTGTTGGATGTATTTGTATAATTTTCTTTTCTTATTAAAAAATCTATGAATTTATTTTTTTATCCAATTTCATAAAATCAGTTGTTGTCGTCGTTCTTGAATACACAATGAATGAATATTAAACAAATATGATTAGATTGCTGTGTTCTGTTGGCTTCTGCATTAATAACCTGAATATAAAAAGTTCGAGTTAAACCATTGTTAACGCATCCGAGCTTCTCTTTTTCTTCGTCGACTAATAACGAGAGTTAGAAGCAATCGTTTAATGATGTTATTTTATTTATATTACATTTCTGCTGGTTATAAAAAGTATGTTTTTTAGAACATTTCGATAATTGTACACAATCAAAAACATGTCCTATCGATCAACTTTGCCAACGTGGTATGTCAATCCATTGCTCAATCATGGTTTAAATATTTGTACAATGTGCGGTTCACAATCTTTCGTGGATATTCGCATACCGATTTGTCCTCAATGTGATGGAATTATCGCAGATTCTCCACGAAATGCTCGTTATGAACATCTCTGTACGAATTGTAGTCGAAGATGTACAATATGCAGGTGTGCTTATCCTTCATCGAATCTCTTCCTGTCACCTTCTTCGGAATCTTTAAATTCTTCATCATGTTCATGTTATGATCATGTACCAGACTGTTGCTATTGCTACTGCTGCAGTTATTTCTGTACTCTTAATCGAAATAATTGTCGTTGTTGTTGTTGTTCGAGATGCGACTGATATGTGTTATTTTAAAGGATATTTATTAACAAGAGAGAAAAAGAGCTACATAACTAAACTTCAAAATAAAATATGAATAAAAAAAAGTAGATCCTTCTAGGTTTAAATGTGTCAATTTTATTGCGATGGGCAATGAGTCATTCATTTGTATACTCGTGGTGATTGTTTCATTCGTTTCGAAATTCCTGATGTTGAATTCATGTTGTTGTCACATCCAGTAAATTCATTATTGTCATAATCTTCAGCTTCATCAACATCCATCATTGGTTCTTCATCTAAACCTTCATACGTTCGACGACCTAAGAACAACAATATTTAGACAATTTTCACTTGATGATTAAGAAGATGACGTACGATTATATGCAGGTTTTGATGGTGAATTGGATGTCGTTCTTTGTAGTTGTTTGATATGAAACTGAAATTGGTCGTTTGAATCTGTGTCAATGGTGACATGACTGTGTGGCGCAAGTTTTGTTTGGATCAATAATTTCGATAGTTCAGTTGTGATATATTTTTCGAGATAACGTTTCAATGGACGTGCACCATAGACTAAAATCAAAACAAAAAAGGCATATTAGAAGAAGATTGTTGAATCATTTAGTTATTGATACAAATATTTGAATATGTATTTCACAAATTGATTTTGAAGGTGTTAGAATGAAGAAAAATATTTGTTTTGCTAGCAAATCAATATGAAATTGGTGAAGATTTTCTCCTATAAATACGATCGATCGATTCTCACAAATCACGGACTAACAATCAAATCATGCTCAGATCCATTCTTTGCTTCTGTTCGGTCTTATTCGCTACGACAACGTACGCGTTTCCAATAACTATTGAATTAACTCAAGGACAACTCGCTTCACAATTAGCCCTTGCCGCTATTCAAACTGGACAAGTATTGAAACATATATAATATAATATGCCTAACTACTATTCTACTGTTCTAGTGGACATCTGATATATCAGGTAGTGCTGCTCTCAATAGTTTAAATAGTTATGATCTGAGTGGACATGCAAATGTAAGTGTTCCAATCTATAATGGAGGATCTAATCAACCGTCTGTCGGTATTGGTGGCACTGCTGATGCAAGTTTTGGTTCGAATAATGTAGGTATCTTTCGTAACAAGAATGATCTCATGAAACTTATTCTCTTTCTCAACTAGGGACAACTGTATGGACCGAACCCGAACTATGACGTTGGTCTTGGAATAAATATTCCATTGGGAAAGAAATGACGTTTTTTGTGAAATCTACTTCGAAATAAAATCGAGATCTTTCTTCCAACATACCTGGATTATAAGATTTCTTAAGTGTTGATTGAATAGCTTTATCAGTTAGACTAATTGCAATATCTTGTTCTTTCAAACGTTCTTCCAATGATTTTAATTGAAGATGAANGATTAATTGTCTCGCTAGACCTTGTTCGTCTTCGACGAGAACATGTGCCAAATGCAATGGTACAAGTTCAATATGTTTTTGTTCTTGAGCATATTCTAATGCTAAAGATATTGCTTTATTGCTTTGATCAGTAAATTCTTCGGGAGAGTAAGACATGATTTGTTAATGTACTGAAATAAAAAGAAATATAAACTAAAAGTTCGTTTTCAATAGACAATATATAATCAATCCGTCGGGTACAAATATAAAGAAGAAACAGATGTGTTCTCGAGTGTTGTGTGTGAAAGAAGAAATTTTATTGGATCGTATATCGATAAATAAGATGACGCTAGATTATATTCTACTAGTCCTGTTTGATATCAACACAAATTTCACTTACCGAGAGCTGACTTGAGTTGAATATAAAGTGCGTTTGTAAATACAGTTACAGGTAGATAATTGATTTCTAATTGGTGCTAACAGTATATTTATATAAATTCAAACCGAGCGAAGAATTTTCTGGAACGTTCGAGAAATTTGGAGCACTAACTCAGACACTATAGAAGAGAAGAGAACGAGAAAGACACGATAAATGCGCACACGTCTTGCATGTAACACATGTCAACAGAACGCAAAAAAAAACAGTCAAAAGTTGAATTTTTCTATATTTTAATGTTGAATATATTCGTTTACCTAATACTTTAAATCTCGAAAAAATACTTTTTCAGAACTCTGTAACATCTTGTTCTAAGTGGTATTTATTCATTTAGAAAATTGTTCAGCAATGAAACTATCAATCGATTTGATCGATTGTTTTTTCACTTATAAGAGTGATTGACATGTTTATCATAAACCAAGGACAAAAACACTTTTTTTTTCTAATCCCGTGAGGAGAAAAAACGATCGTATACTTAAACAAGTCATTTACTTATTCGCTTCATTGAGTATACAATGCCTGCCGGAACGCTCGAAGTGATTATTGTTGAAGGCCGTCGTCTTAAAGATAAAGATACAGTTGGACAAAGTGATCCATATGTTGAGATCTACATAGAAAAAGGATACAAACAACGGACAACAACGCTTTCAAATACTAATGATCCTGTGTGGAACGAACGTTTCGTATTCAATGTTCATCCCAAGGATGATACGATTCATTTTGCTATCTATGATTCTGATGTTGCTGATAAAGATGAAATTGGAACTGGAAAAGTAAAACTCAAAAATGTTTTTGACGATGGAAAATTTGACGATTGGGTTAAACTACCTGCTCATCTTGGTCTATCCAATCATGGTGAACTTCATGTTATCATGAATTTTACCGTAAGTTTTCCTTCGCGAACTGTCAAGGTGACATTTTCCTTCGTTCTTTTTTAGCCTTCATAAAATGTCGTTCATGAATAACAGCGGATAGTTCCAGTTTGACAATTTATTCTTTCAAAACTTTCGCTCTTTTTCTGTTTTGAACCTTCAATATCTACCTTAAGGAAATAAATAAATAAACAACACGACACAACAGCATGACAATACACATCTACTAGATAGTTTTGTTGTCTCTCTAATCGTTTTTGTTGGCATTAATACCAGTTGCAGTAAGGTTGTCTGCTTTTCCTCGTGTAATAGCAGCAACATTTGGACCATCTCCACCAGTTGTTGATACTCCACCAAGCTTTTCAAGTGAACTTTTATCGACTAAACTAAATCGAAATTGTGTTGATGTGCTCATATAAAGTGTCGGAATCCAGATCATGGATGTTTTCGCAAAACAAGCACAGATAAATGTTGCCATTGGTGACACATTCGCTTCGGGTGCGCCAAATGCTGATATAAAAAATGTAATTGCGTATGGTGTCCATGTGAAAAGAAAACCAACGACGGTGATAACAACAGCTAAAACAAGAAAGTTGTTGAATATGCATTTCTACAGAGGAGACGTTTACTCTTGAGAACACGTCGTTCCATTTCAATCCGCTTTTGACTCAATTCTGTTTTAACACCTTGAGCAACTTTCTTGCGCATACCTTTAATTCCTCTATAAATTATTGAATTCGTTATGAGAAGAATAATCAATGGTACACAATAAACAACCACGAATATGAATATATTGAATGAAACAAATAGACGGCGTCGATCATATAAATTCGTGCAACAGGATGTACGAGATCTCTTTAAGAAATCATTTTATTGAACGAAAATACGAAAAGACTGTCTACGTACTTCCAAAGTATATTCATTCCAACCCACTAAAGGTAATATTGTCCAAAGTAATGCAATTAATATAGCGATGCAGCAAGTAACGACACTTTTTTTTACCTATTGATGTTTGACACGTTTTCGTTAAAATACGATAATCTATAAAAGCATCTTCAACTTACTGTAACTGATTTAGCATTGAATGGCCGAATGATGATATAGCATCGACTGATACTAACAGTACAAAGCAGATAGCAACTTGAACATCCGTAGAGAAATGCTGTTAGACCTTCTAATTGACATCCTTGACGACTATATAGCCAATGACAAAAGACCGATGATGAACCTGTTAGAGGTAGATTAACGCTAGAAGCAATCAAACCAATAAATGAAATAAACATTATAAAGATATTTGGTGGTGTGCGAAGTTCTTTGTGTCGTATGAAACTAATTAAAAGTGCTCCATTTAAAAAAATACCGACCAATGTGGCTACACATAAAAGTATTCCTATAATTCGCACTGTTGTACAATCAATTGGTGTCGGTTGACTCCAAAATGCTGGATCGTCCGAGGTTAGCCCAGTGCCAATGCTTGATGAGTTATTAGAAGACATACTTTCTCTACGTTGAAATGAGACGAACAATCGAGAACTCTTGTATTTATACACATATCTGTTCGTAAACCGGTTTTAACGGATAATCATGTGCAGATTAATATGAAAGAATAAAATAGAAAGATTTAGTTGTGCTATTTAACAATCACGAATGCGTATACTTTAACACATGAATAAATAAATTAGAAATCAAGCAAAGACTCAAGTTTATTTCAGTTAATTCCTCGACGTGTGATTAAATACACAGCAAATGTTCCCAACCAATGTCCACCTTCATAATGATTTTCGTCAATTGCTGTGAGACCAGCATGAGCATTTCGTTGACTCAGTTCGCTCAATTGATGTCGTTGTTGATGATTTTCTGGTAGCATATGAATGATTCCTTCTAACATCCATGCTCGACTAAGACACAAACCAGCCAAATGAATCAGTTTTGGATCAGACGGATCGGCAATCGCAGGTGGTTCAAGACTTGATGGTAACTGATGGTTCTCAGGTAAAAAGTTGTTTAACCATTCAATAAATTTGTCTGGATTGTTTCTCATGACACGTCGTATGAGATCAGCCTCAGCTAAGCCTGCTGATAGAAAATCTTCTCCCGACGGTTCATAATTGAATGGATAGAATTTATCCTGAGCAAAAAAGCGTAACGCTTGTTGTTCGATCAGTTGACCAAATGTTTCATTATTTACATGATGAGCATAATCGAGCGTAAGACCAAGTGCAAAAGCTGTTTGACTATGTTCACCACTACGAACGGGATAAGATAGTTTTGGAAGCCAAGATGATAAACGTTTGACCACAAGTTCTTCTAATGGACGAAGATTTTCACGCCATTGATGAATTTCTTTCGAATAGATTTGATGATTATCTTTTGACCATTCGTCTAATTCCATAGTTAATTGTAGTAACCATGCTAATCCATAGGGTCTTTCAAATGCTTGACGTTGATTATTATCGATATATTTCACTTCATTGTCGAGATTTTCTTTTGTTAAACTTTGCCGAAGTGCTTGACAACATTCATTTGTTAGAGTTTGATCGATTCGTGCCAGACGAACCAATAACCAATGACCATGAACAGCCGAATGCCAATCAAAGCAACCATGAACAGCCGAATGCCAATCAAAGCAACCATAAAACGCTGGTGTTAATCGACGAGGTCCTTGAATATCTGCATCGGATGTAAGAACATGAGCAATTTTGTTTGGATATTCACGATGAACACAAGAGAGTGCCAAAGATGCAAAGCGACGATGTAAAGATGATAAATCTAAATACTTACTTGTCATTTTAATTTCTATAAGTGCAATGCTTATACGTATACTATTACAAAGGAAAAAATAACGTGTGTGAATCAGAATAAACAGAAAAGAGAAAAAAGCAAATAAATACTTGTGATAAGAATTGTTTCTTGGTGACGCATTGATTCCATTGCTTATAGCAGTTTTTTTTCTTCGATAAATGACGACACATATGTGATTTTTTGCTTGAAAACAAGGAAGAGATTTGCTTACATAAGGTGAAAATTCATTCATTTGGTCGAATTCAACAGAATCAGGCAGGTAAACGTGAGAGAAGCAAAGCAGAATCTACCTATTTTTACGATTAAAATCATCGAATATGGTACAGAAAACGTACTCTAATAATGATCGCTATGAAGGAGAATTAGTCGGTGGAAAACGACATGGTCAAGGAACGTTATTTTACGCAAAGGGTGGAAAGTACTCAGGTGGTTGGAAAAAAGATGAGCGTGATGGTTACGGAGTCAATATTTGGGACAATGGTGATCGTTGTGAAGGGAATTGGAAAAACAATAAATTGCATGGACAAGTAACATTTCATTATTCGGATGGGGGAAGTTATTCAAGTGAATTTCGAAATGGAGTAGATATTCACGAAAAAAAACCTGATTCGAAAACATTAGCTACGCCAACTAAACCTGAGTATACGAAAAACGAAACAACTGAAGAAAGGTGCGACTCAGTTTCTTGTCCAAGTATGAATTTATCATATGAATTTATCAAATCATTGAAATGGCCCGAGTCAATATTCTATCCTGAAGAAGATAGATGTTATTGTTCAAGATGCTATCATCCTAGCTGGTCAGATGCAGTCACAGCAGGTGGAGCAAAGTATGTTATTCCAAGAGAATGGGTGCGTTTTGGTCTTTTGGTTGATCCGGTATTTCCAAGTACTTGTAAGATATGGGACGATTGGATTGTTACATTTCATGGTACAACAAAAGAAGCAGCAATCTCTATTATTCAGCATCGTCACTTTTATCTTCCAGGTGATAAATTACTTGATGGAAGTATTTTGGGCATACGAGATGGGCACATTCCAAATCAAAAATTTATTTTTACATCACCCACGATCGTTTATTCGAGCTCACGAGTTTACGCTCCCATTTATACTTTTCAATCCGAGGAAGATAACCGCGTGTATCAAGCTCAAATAGTTCTTCAATGTCGACAAAAGCCCGATTCATTCAAAGTTCAACGTGAAACAATTGGCCTTGGAAAGAAACGCATTTGTTCAGTTATACCCAATGAAAAGATGGAATATTTCACAGATATAAGATCATCACTCGTTGCTTATGGATTACTTGTGCGTGTAGGAGAAAATTTAGCTTCATAAATTTTCATAATCGAAAGACTAAACAAATACCGAACCTCATGGAGTGTTTTCTTTTTCTGTACTGCAAGTAGATTTATGTAAATAAATGTTGTTCTTCGCTAATGCAACACATTATGTGTTCATCTATCAGGAATCTGATATGAATTCAAGAGTTCACAGACAGATGATCAGTGCGTCGTTGAGAAAAGCATGCATTTCTTTAGAAAGTGAAAAAAGACTGTGGTTCAATTTCTCGTTTCTCAGATACTAAGACATTTAAAATCATTATTTAGTATTTTATACGTTTTCTTTTTTAGAAACGTAATCATGATTTATTTGAGTTGGAGCAATATAATTTCACTTTTACCATTACCTTCGCGTGCACCCGATGTGATTCCTGTGGCAAGCGATGGTCTTCTTGTTATCAAACATCCTGCCCTAGCCGCTGATATACGTTCTGTGACGACTTGCATTTCTGCGTGATCAGGAGCAACTCGATTATTTGAGTTATGATTTCTACAGTTTTCATATAAAACATATTTTGCCTGGCGGCGAAATCGTCTTGATACACAAATATATATAAAAAATGAATTCTAAAAAGAAAATGATGAGTTTCATGATATTAATTGAACACAAAAGTCTTACTCCGTTGCTTATAATAGATAACGTCATAGTAACAATATTGATTAAATTTAATTGTGCGAGCAAAGTTGGATCGCGATTTGTATTGAGCGTTGAATATCCATTTGATATTGAGTAAGGAATATAAGTTAAAACATAAACACAAATTTCGACCAAAACCATCATTGTTAATTGTTTATCTAATTCACGTCGAACAAGTAGATTTGCTCGAGTTGTTAAATTACGTGCGTTTCGAAAAGACATCACACCGAATATCACTGCAATTAATGGGAAAAGATTCCCATACGTTAGAAAATACCCATAAGTATGATATTTGAGAAAAATTGGATTTTTCGTAATGCAAACTGCAGTATTTGACATTGATAATTGATTGAAATATATGAAATAAGGTATGGCATGAAGAATCCAAATGATCGCAATGGTTCCTGTGACACGATAAGCAGTTTTAATATTGGACCACTGTTGTAAACGATGACGCAAGCACGTAGCAAAGTACTGATCTGCAATAGCTAAGCATAAACACGTTATTGCACTTAAGTTACAAGATGCAACAATCAAATTACGAAATTGACAATAATAAAATAAAGCAAAAGTCCAATCGATAGTAAATGCTGATGATATTACTATAAATAATGTACTGAACACTAATCGAATAAAGTTAAATATTGACATAGACATTAAATAAAATGCACATGAATTTTGTCGAAATGTTTTAAGACTAAGAAAAACAATAATACTAAATATTTCACCAATAATACTCAAAATACAAATTGGAATTGTAACATAAGTAGAAAATTGTGATCTGATATGATAAAGCGATGTGACATAGTCCGAATCCATTTTCAAAAGTCTCCAGAAGAAAACAATGCAAATCTTTTTTGAACTTTTATTTATATATTATGTCGGGAGAAGAGTTTTTTTTTCATTACAGCAGTATACTCTTTTTTTTTACATGAATTACTGTCGGAAGACATTAATTTTTGACGGAAAGGCACGAGATGGATTAAAAAGGTTTCATCGTTATAATTAATTTGTTCAAATACGAAGTAATGAGAACGTTTTAAGCTTCTTTTCTCTCATTTTAGATTAGTCATTAAATCTACTTGATATCACCCATAGAAAAACAAATAAGTGGAATGATGTTTGAAGATGTTTTCTGGCTCATTACGGTCTGGTAACGATATTATAAGAGGACCATATGTCCCATATACTTCCATCCTCAAAATCCAACGCTGAAAAGAATTTTGTTTTATGGATTTTATATTTTTAAAAATAAAAATGAACAGAAAAAGTGAAATCTATGGAAATATCTTTGTTTTCAATCAAATTTGTGTAGATAAATATTCTTCTTTGTTAATACAACGATATCATCATTGCCCCATGGAATAATGTCTTCTAATCGTTCATGTTGATCGTATTTGTTCGTTTCTAAAAGTTTTCCATCGGCTGAAATATGAAAAAATCGGCAATCATCATGATCCATCACTAGCCATTGATCAGTATCGATTGAACAACAACGACAACGTCCATGAATACGAGCGGACCAGAGTGTTTCCATAGTTAATATCGAACGTAGTTCGAATCGACTTTCTTCTTTATGTTTACTATAAATCGGCATACCAAGGAAATCAGCATTGACTTTTAAGTCGCATATGATTTCATCTTTTTTACAAGTTACTGGTGTATGCCATTCTTTAATTAATCGAAATGATCCACCGATTTCATACTCGTAAATAGCTGAACCCCATTCGACTGTCGAAAGAAATAGCGTTTCATTTGAACATGTACCGCGCCACCAATCATGTTTGCCTGGAGTTATAGGACTTCGTTCTAGTTTCATTGTTTTTTCATCAAGTAGAAGGATTTCTTTGAATGTGATTAAAATAAATCGAGATAATCGCGATGACCAACATATTCCGTGAATACCATTGTGTGTAAACGGCACCTCTTCGATGATCGATAAATTTCGATCGAGTAAACATAGATCTTTACCTTCTCGATCGACAAGGAGATGTTTTGTATTTGTTCCAACTGCACTTTCCAAACCGGATCTCAAATGAATGCTTTGGTATGGATGTGATAATGGAAAGAGACGTCGTCGAACAATAAGATGTTCATCTTGAATAACTAAAGGACGAAGTGTAAATCGTTGATGTTCAAGATCATTGATTTTGATTTCTTCCAATTGAAGATCATGATTGACAGCATCGTACGATTCCTTACTATCATCATGTCGATCGATTAGATGGGTAATACGTGATCGAAGAAGATCTAATTCTTTTCTTTCATGAATTTGTCTCTTTTCAATTAGATCGTGTCGTTTTCGTTCACAGTATTCATCAATTGTACGGTATGCTTCAGCACGCCACTGTTCCAATTGTTCCAATGAGGATGGTTGCAAAGAAGACAAACGATCGCTTAACTGTTCAACAGTATCAGCTAAATGGCGAAGATTGTGCGCTGTAGACATGAGTTCGTATGTACTCGAATCGAGACGAAATTGAAATAAGGACAGATGAAGCTTTTTTCTTGTGCTTCAAAAGATAAGCTTTGATGAAAAAGAAATAAATAGCAGTATGTATGGCAAATATCTTTGCTCTTTTCTTTTATGATAAGATATGAAGAGTTGGTATTATTAGTGAATGTCATTAAACGTCAATATACCTCGAAAGGCACCGATAAAAAAAACACTCACTGAAACTAAATAGCTTTTGAATGTGAAATACTGGTGTACTCTGTTTTTTTCCTCATTTAAAGCTATTTCAGCATGATTTCATAAATGCTTGATGTAATCGCCATAATGCTACATATTTTTCACCTGGTCTAATATAGTGAAAGCTGACTGCTTGTCCAAAACCATCGGGATGATCTTTGTAGCCAAAATCTGTCAAATAAAATTCAGGTGGCTGAGAATTGAATTCCTTTCTATTAACAAATTCAACTTTCGTTCGATTTTTAATACAAAGCGGAACAAATTGATCACTTTCAGCTATTCCAGGCAAAGGTCGACATTTATGAATAAATGATGGAAAATGACGAAATACTCCTCTTGAAATAACATATCCTGCTCCTCCACAAAATCCTATTCCACACGTAGACTGACCAATTATCAGCAAACGTTGAGAATCGAACTGAGAAACTAACATATTCAAATTTGGCGGAGAAATAAATGTATCGTCATCCATAACCATAATCCATTTAATGTCATTTTTCTCATCACTTTCACTTATTTTTTCAACAACAAGCGATAATCCTCGAGCTAATTTCTGCATACTCTGACCACGGCTTATAGATTGCTGTAGTTCGCCAGGAATAACATTGTAAATAGGTAATCGACTGTCAAACGTTGTTTCACCAATGAAAAATAAACGAGAGGGATGTATTGTTACTCCAAAGGTACACATGATAATATCACACCGAGAACGCAGAAATGAATTCCCTGTCACTATCATGTAAACGATATTTCCTCGGGACTTCGTTATAGAAAAGTACTTTTCTGACTTCCACAATTGATAATCTAACTGTGTCCAACAATTGGTGAGATTGGATTGGTAACGACTGGAAGTATTGAAAATTAATGAAGATTCTGTCTCATAAAAATGATATCTGATTAACATGGTATGAAGTTGACCAAGCGAAAACAATACAGAAATGCAAATACATACGAATATAAAATAGATAAGAAGACGACGAAATCGTAGAATATCCATAGATCGAATCGCGTTCGTTCGTGGCAACAAAAGAAGTTTACATCTTTTTGAGTAGTAAATGTGACCGTGCTCACCATGAATTCGTTTGTTTACATTAAAAGAAAAATAGCTGACTAAATTTCGTGGTCTGAAAGGTAAACAGAAAAAAAAGAACTGTTGTGTGAGTTTATATTGACATCTGTTCATATATTTAAGAAGTAATGACGCTGGATTCTTCGAAGTATTTTATCACCCATAAAAAGTAGCTCGATGAAAGTCTATCAATAGATTGTATAATCTCTACTAAATCTTACAGTTAAGTCACAGTTCCTGGTAGTACTGGATGCACTTCGGCGTGTAATATAATGGGAGAAGAATTTTAAACGTCTATAGAAAAGATTTAGATGATACTAATAATAATCGATGTTATCGACAGCTACACTTGAATTTGTTACTCTCGACAAATCACTTGCCTATGCATCCACTGATGTATCCTCACGATTCTGACCAAAACGTTTGACGCTTGTAGCAAATAGAACATCTCCACAACATAAATGCCTAGATCAATTAGTGAAAATCTGAATAAAAGCTTTGTGTTGTCTGATGTCGTGAATGAATATAGAAGCGCCTCAAGAAAGTGTCAATAAAAATTTGTTTTCGCATACGCCTATTATCCCTGCCATTTCATTAGCGGACGGTCGTATGTTCAACGACGAACACAGCAGAAATATATTAATGTTTTGATAATCAATTCACCCTCAGTTTATACACACTATATTCGTTTCATCCAGAGATTAACCAGCAGCAGCAGCAGCATCATGAAAGACATGCATTTCCATGTTCACGTTAACTTCACATTAAAGGTATGAATATCCACACACCGAACTAAATATATCGTCCTTCCATCTGATAAGATAATGTCTCAAGCGATGTCTAGCGCTATCTATCGTTTGTTGCAGCTACCATTTACTTTAGTCCGTTCTACCGGTACGAATTGACGTCTTTGTCTTTGATCATTCAGTTTGGAAATGTGTTCACAACGAGATTTATTTCACAAAAGTAGTTCAAAGCTGTTTTTTAATCGTTTTCTAGATGCCAAACCTGTTTTTGTCTTGTTTTTCCTTCATGAAGAAGAATTCCATTAAGCAAAATTCGGCTGATGCGCCGATGGCACCTCAATCGTCTAATAGTAGTCGAAATTATCGCGCTGAATCCCGGCCGCATTCAACTCGCTCAAGCCAACGGGACGAACATCATGAAATGCATGAGCACGATAATTCTTCGAGCAGCAGTCGTAATGTGGTGTATCGGTCGAACAACTTTAACAGAATGCGGTATGGTAGTACCTTTGAATCAACAGACTCATCGGACTCCGACACATCCCATCAGTCAAGATTTAATCGACGTGAGGATTTACCAAATCAGCAATTTTCGATGGCGACTCGATATGCAGCTGTAAATCAAAATATATATCTTTTCAACGAAAACATGAGAAAAACTTTTCATCGATATCAATACTATGGTAGTGATGAAGAAGTTCAAGTAAACAACTGCCCAGCGTTTCCAGATAATCAAGTAAGACATTCAAAACAATGTGCTCTATTTACATAATCTATTCATTTCTAGACAGTACCTGCGAACAAAGTATATTCGGGTTCTTCGATCCATAATGAAAATAGTGGCAAATCTTCAAGTGAAACCTTATTTACAGCGGGAACTCCCAGTTGTTTATCACATGGATCTGCGACGGTGCCATGTATGTACTTGTGAAAAGTATCGAATGAGTTGTTGTCATGTTGATATTATGGAAGAAAGAAATCGTTGTACATGTATTTTTCACGGATAGATATACTTTACTGTCAAATGATATTCTTTCAATAAAAAATAAACGCGACGGATGTGTTATCACTCCAAAGGTACACATGATAATATCACATCGAGAACGCAGAAATAGATTCCCTGTCACTATCATGTAAACAACATTTCCTCGCGATTTCGATGCAGAAAAGTATTTTTCTGACTTCCACAATTGGTGAGGTTGGATTGGTAACGACTGGAATTATTGAAAATTAATGAAGATTCTTTTTTATAAAAATGATATCTGATTACCACGGTATGAAGTGGAACAAGAGAAAATAGTATAGAGATGCAAATACATACGAATGTAAAATAGAGAAGAAGACGACGAAATCGTAGAATATCCATAGATCGAATCACGTTCGTTCGTGGCAACAAAAGAAGTTTACATCTTTTTGAGTAGTAAATGTGACTGTGCTTGCTATGAGTTTGATTACATAGAAAAATACCTGTTCAAATATTCAGGTATTTCAGAGTTTCAACCTTTCAAGTTTTCAATAATTCTGGGATTCTAGCCCCCACCCCGCACCCTCAAGATTTCTCTTTTTACAGAGTTTCAAATGAAAAATCAGCTTAGCACTATGGAACATTCCCATGATATTCCAGAAGTATTTTTTTATTGATAATTGTAAAAAGTTAGAACTTTTCGTGTAAAAAAATGTCGATAAAGGTGAATACCATTCCGTATACACATGGTCAAAAAATCAAATTTAGGAAGAAATTTACATTATTTAAATAGATATTTATTGAATAACATCTTTGATGGCAGGTTCTTCATCATCAACTGTATTATCATTTCCCAATGTAATCGTGCTAAAGAATTCTTCTTTCGCATCAGCAAAATTATTTAACCACGATTTATGGATATTGCCATGAAATTCCTTTTTACCTGTGACAATTGATGCAAATGTGTGATCTCGATAAGTAAATACATTTTCTATTTTATGTTTTACTAATTCTTCAACACCAAGTATAACTCGATTGATATCAAATTGAGGTGGCGAATGACATTGTGTTAGTAAATCTTGCATATAATTGATTTGGTAATAAAATTCACTTTTACCATTACCATATTCTAATTTTTTCTCCTTTTCCTTCCATTGTTCAATATCTTGATCCATTATTTCAACATCCGGGAGCGTCACATGGCCAAGAATGACGTCACGTACAAATGAAGCTTGAATATCGAACATTGTAAATTGAAAGACTAAACTTTGCATTCCCAAATAGGCCAGATTAGGATGTTTTGACCAAATAATACCTTTGTATAAATTAGGTGGAGAAAGAACCTTCGTTTGACAATCAAGACGAAGATGTTCAGCCATAAATGGATAATCATGTATATATCCTGTACAAAATATAACACTATCGATTTCATGATCACTTTTTGTTCCATCTCGAAAATATGCAATACGATCTTGGAAACGTATTAATAATGGGACTTCTTTAATTCTTTCATCTGGCCATTTATATCCCAAAGGCTTTGTTCGATAACTAATTGTTATAGTGCTTGCACCAAATTTATATAATTGTAAAGCAATATCTTCAGCTGAATAGCTACTACCGATAATAAGAACATGCTGATGGACAAATTGACTTGCGTCATGAAAATATTTCGAATGAAGAACATGACCAGAAAACTGTGACATTCCTTCAAATTGAGGAATATTTGGTGTTGCATAACGACCCGGTGCAACAATAACATAATCAAATATCAAATCTTCACGAGTTTTTGTTTTCAAATCCTCAACAGTTACGCGAAATTTGTTTCCTTCTTCATTATTCACATGACGAACAGCTGTTTGAAATCGAATATATTTTCTTATATCATTTCGTTCCGCTCGTCCAACAAGATAATCATACACAACTGAACGTGGCTGATATGATGGAGTAGAATGACCAAAATGTTCATCAAATGTATAATCTACACATTCAACCAATTCTTTTGGACCATTTGACCAAAGTCTATAAGAAAAAAAGATGAACTATTTATAAAAGAATTCAATAAAATACTTACTGTTTGTACATGCTAGTATGAACTGGTTCTTCAGATGTACTGGTTTTACTCTCTTCGGTATAGAGCCACATTCCTCCCCATTCAGATTGCCGTTCGAAACAAATTAAATCTAAGTCGTCATTTTTTAAAGCAATTAATTGAAATAATCCACATGGTCCAGCACCAATAATAGCAATACGTTTTCTCATTATTTTACAACTTGGCGATCACTGCCGAGTTCGAAATTCTTTAAAATCTTAAATGTTTGGAACGTTTGTTAATAAGATTGAAATTGGTAATTTAACAACTATGAAAATCTCCACTTGTCTACATGTCTACTATCAATTCGCGAAAATGGTATTTTTACATTCGGTAGAATCATATTTATACTTAAGAAGATAAAGATAACTTAACCACCTTATCTATCTTCAATTACTTTCTGTATTGGTTTTGTTTTTTTATGATCGATTTTGTGATTTTTTTATGAATTCTTAGTGGTAGTTAAATTGTAGAAACAAATGTTTTTCAATTATTAATTCGGTAAATATGACGAATCGGGACAGATCTTATCTGTTTGTTTCATACAGATATCTACGACCATTCATTAAGAATTTGGGTGAGGGTGTGAGGGTATATATGTATAAGTTAAACTAAATCTATTTCTATTCCTATCTACTCACTTGTTATAAGTGTGATATAGATATCTACGTATATTCGAATTGATACTAGCCTGTCGGAGGTCGACTTACAATATAAGTCAAATTAGGCATCTCATGCTCCAAAACCATCTCAATTCGCAAAAGAAAGTCTTCGTTGGTTTTTGGAGAAATCGTGGATAAAAAGCTTCGAAACAAAGCTATGAAAGATTTCCGAGGAAAAAATTGATTTTTCTCACATACATATTTGTTTTCTTTGTATGAAATCAAAATAAAACTAATCATGCAACTCGTCTTTGTTTAACGTATACTACAGGAAAACAAGATTCCGGTAACTGAATTTGAGATTGCGATTGATATTAATTTTCTCAATGATATTTCGAGTCTGGCGATTAGTTTAAATTTTGAATTGCAATTAGTTTCTCATCCGAATGCGTTTTCTAGATAGAATAGTCGTTAAATAAAAGCCAGTATGCTGTGATCTGGACGAAGCATAAATGTGTATTAGTACCTAAGTAGAGACTAATCTAGTGATCACAAAATAGAATAAATGATAGTCATTCAGATAATGCTGAGCTCAGTTTATTGAAAGTTTTATAAAATATAAGAAAAGAAAAAGGTAACGAAAATCCATCCAATCTTTTCTATATTGTTAATTTCAGCTAAGAATGATTAATATTTTCGTCATCATTGAATCAGATAATTTGATTTAAAAGATTTTCTTTTTTTTCCAATAAACTTTTCTTCTTCATCTCTAAAGTCAAAAATATAATCAACATTATTAATACCACCATCATTTCTCACCTATTTCTTGTTTCCAAAATTTCAAATTCACATCCAAAGAACTGTCTCTCGCTTTCAAATCATCAACTTCCTTTTGTATTTCTTTAGCCTGATTATCCTGTTTATTTGAAATTGGTTTGAGTTGTTTTTCTTTTGTTTTAATTCCGCTAGATATGCTCTGCTGTTTCTCTTGCAAGCGATGAACCTTTGACAAAAAGAAAGTCAACTACTCAGGTCAACAAATCCGATGCTGGATCCTATCGGATTCCTGGAAACGGAATTGCATTGGAATCCGACTAGAAAAATCCTGTCGGTTGTTGCAAATTTTATGAGCGATCTTTCTAGCTATATTCTATGATGACCCTTAGAAAATTCATGTTTCGGATCCGAGACCGTCGGGATCCAATGCGATTTCGTTACCAGGATTTCATTGGATCCGTCGAATTCCTGTAGTATTTGATAAAATTCTATATTGGATCCGATGGAATCCAAGTATGGGATTGTTCGACCTGGGTATTTTATCACATCGGTACATATACGTACTTCGGTATTCATATCTGTTATTTGCCGAAGAATGTCCTAAAGCAAATAAGATTTTGTATCATTTACTTTATGAATCAATCGTACCTCTGCTGAATTCTCATCATCGTCAAAACCATCATAGTTGTTGTCAACATCAACTTCATGATGATCACGATCAATTTTAGGCAGATTACCACCTCTCCCATTGTCACCATCGTTAACATGCATAAGATCATAACCAGGACCGTTGTCATCCAAAACATTATCCATCCTTACAACACCATAATCATCAGTTTTATTGATGCTCTACGAAAAACGAAAAAGATCACCATTTTATTTTGTCTATTGTTTTGTTATCTTACTTGATCGTCATCCATGGTTAATTTCACCAGTAATGTGACCAGTTATATAATACGATTTCATTTTAAGTGAAAATTCACTAGAAGAATGGAAAAAAAACAAGAGAAAGGAATTTATCCGATTCGCTTGTCGAATATCGAACGTATGTGATGTATATAATCCTTCACTACGGAGTGTTATTCTTGTTTGGCAACAATAATGACAACGACAAAAGAATATCCAAGATGTCATTATATTCTACTTGATTTATTCGAACGTTTATCTTCTTTGTTCTGATCTTTCAATTTTACCAATGGATCAGAAGATTAATCGACGTTATCTTGAACAATATAATAAACGTCAAATGCTAATAGCATGTCGAAATGCTTTGACAAACATTCATGAAAATGGCCATTTTATTTGCAAATTAACCGATACATTAACACGTTTTACCACTGGTTTAATCTATTTGCTCTATCGTTCATTCAAATCAATATGTATTCTTCGTCCATNTTCTGATCTTTCAATTTTACCAATGGATCAGAAGATTAATCGACGTTATCTTGAACAATATAATAAACGTCAAATGCTAATAGCATGTCGAAATGCTTTGACAAACATTCATGAAAATGGCCATTTTATTTGCAAATTAACCGATACATTAACACGTTTTACCACTGGTTTAATCTATTTGCTCTATCGTTCATTCAAATCAATATGTATTCTTCGTCCATTTACACTTGATCCATCATCATCTGAACGATTTCTAGTTTGTTATCAATTACAATCTCCTGTCAATCAATCAATTATTAAACATCTCGATGATCTGTTATTGAGATATGAGAAAACAGAAGATATTCTCGAAGTTGTACCTGTTAAATGTTTGATTGAACCAGAGTTTCAACAATATATTGCTGATACAAGTCAACGCTTATTGCAAAGAGAAATTGAAGGTTTAGACAAATATCTTTGGCTAGTTGAAAATGGACAAGATCAAAAGGTTTTCTTTTGAATTGGTTGACATCGTTTATCATTTTTCTTTTCATAGATCGATCTGACAATGAGCAATGAAGATTTGAATGAAGCGCATGATTGTGTGACTGTTGAACGTCGTCGCCCCGCATCATCTGATGAACCTGATTCAGGCATTGAATTACCATTTGGTTGGATCAAACAATGGAGTAAACGAGGAGAACAATTTTATTATTTTAATACACAAACGAAAGAATCGCGTTGGGAACCACCAAATTGAAATGATAAATATTTTTAAAAGAATCTTTTACTTAATTCTACTCTATCTTTTACTAATCTTAAATAAATTGCTCGAATAATGAATAAATGTCATTTGAGAGAATTGTTTCATCATTCAAAAACGCGTCTAGTTTTAATGAAATTAAAGAGAATTGAATATTCTATATGTAACTGATCCTATTCTTACGTATTTAGTATAATTGAGATACCTGTTGTATGAGATCTATGACATAGAGTATTATAATAACAATGACTATGTACGAAATCAAAACTCTGACTGTTTCAGTTATAGTCAAATTTGAAAGTTTTCAGGATTTGAATTCTGCAGAAACAAACATAGGAAACCGAAACCATTTGATTTCTGTAAACATCTCACATATCAGTGTGCGTAATTGAGTCAAATACAACAACATTGAGTCTCTACTCAAATGTTATTTTGCCATGGTATGTTCTCGTGATTCTCATTGAAATACATTACGATAATAAAAACAACATTAAAATACCAATAATTGCATTTTGACGGACAGCATTTTATATTTCTCTAAGGGCATAAAAAATAGTTGGAAAATGAAATATGTTTATGACATCCATTTCTACTTGTTTTATTATTCTAAGCACACGCAACTCTAATAAATAAATTACTTAATAATATCAAATGAGAAGGAATATTGAATCACTTTCATCAGCAAACAGTATCTAGAATCTCTGTCCTTTTGCTCTACCGGAATTACCGATCGTATTTATTGAGATCAACCCAAGCTTAAGTCTTTCTGTGGGATATTTATGATGACGAGGATCCATCGCACTCTGTCTTTACAGCTGAACGAATAAATATTTGAAAAAGTTTAGAGGGCAGGGCTCGACAATGAATAGAAAATACTATCGAAGAGCATAAACAAGTTTCAGATCAATTAAATGAGAATAATAGGTATGTAGGTTTTTATGGTTTCAAAAATTCTTTATTTAACTCATTGATATCATCATGGATGAGCAAATAATGTTCTTGATCACTTCCATGAATTGTTGTAAGACATTAGATGTTATCTATAATTCAATCGCCATTTACAGCAACTATCACTAATATTCTGCATTGAAATACCTCCACTATTTTTGTTGCGACATATTTTCTTGCTATCATTATCTGTCTATTCGTCTGAGAGAGAGAATAATAGTCAATGGCCGTTGTTCAGACGGACGGTACATCGACAATGTTGTTCAATGAATTTATCCATCGTGTTTCGAAATAATGAGAACGGTTTCAATCATACAATGAATATATAAATGTACAAGTAGCTTCTTCATGCAGAGTGGCAATCCGAATGAAAATATGAATCAATCGAGTATAGAACTTTTAGATTTACCTGATGAAATTTTACTTATGATTCTAAGAAAATTGAACAATGTTCATGTTCTTTACACATTATTAAATATTAATAGTCGACGATTAAACATTTTGGCACAAGAAAAAATCTTTGCTCAGATTCTCGATTTTGTATCGATTGATAATACTACGTTAATGAATCAACTCCAACTCAATCAAATTTGTACGAATATATTACCAAGAATTTCTGTGAATGTCACATATTTCGTTGTTAAATCAGTATTTTTGGAACGAATTTTAATGGCTGCTGATTATCCAAACCTGACTAAGCTGAAAATTTTCGATTTTAAAAAAGAAATGGTTTCAGCGCATTTTTCAGGTAAAGAAAAGAATGGTATTGAATACTATCAACTAGAAATCTTCCATTAACATTTGCAGATAGCTCGCCACTTCGGTATATCTTTCAAAATCAAATTAGAAGCCTAATTTTAGTAAACAATGACAATATGAGAAAGACAGGTTCATCAAAAACTTATACCAAAAACATCTATGAACCCATTTTACATTTCTTCAAGAATTTAAGACAACTAAGCATATGTAAAACATCCTACTTATTGTACTCGGTGTTATCAATCTGCTCTTTACCATCAACTGCTTTCGCGGCTGCTAATCTGACTTATTTATGTATTAATGTTCTTAATTTGGATGATTGTCTTTACCTGCTTGACGGTCGACTTATGCAATTAGAAGTACTGATTGTTGAGATTGCCGCTATAAATGATTCTTCAACAATCATTCATAATACGGTAGGTTTTGACAAAAGCTAGTGGAAATGGTCCACTATCATGCAGGACGTAGCAAGAACCGAGGTCACTGAGATGTACAGGCAACTCTTTTAAAGAGTAAAAATAAAGTAAATTCTACACAGATAGAAATCTATTTCCATACAATTAAGAGCCTGTTGTGGTGACGGACATTCTCCTTAGACAGCTTCTGGTTATACCATTACTATCAACTCTGACAAGACGTGATACTATTATTATTAATCCTCTTAACTGATAAATAGGAAATAAAATAATCTTTTGAGAACATAATTTCTTCCGATAACACATACGCATAAGTTAGATATTTCCAAGGAAAGTTCAAAGAACATAAAACTAACAACTTATCAATATATATCTTTTGATTTTCTAGGATGATTTACCTAATTTGAAATGTTTCTCATTACAAACTTTTCTTCCAACTTGCTCTTACGATGATAAAATCCTTCCACTCCTTCGTCGTATGTCATTACTGGAAAAATTGACATTATATCTTCCTTTACATCGAAGCACATTTATTGATGGAGCTCATATTCAAGATGAAATACTTGCTAATATGCCAGAACTTCAGTCATTCACTTTTTATATTCGCACTTATAACAGGACCGGTAATCTAGCACATATATCAAGCGAAGATATTCAAAGAACATTTACAGATAATGGACAACAACACGTAGTTAGCATCGTCAACAAAATTGGTCTTACAACAACTACGTGCTGCATTTTCACTGTTCCATTTCTGTTTGATCAGTTAGAAGATATTGGAAGTATATTTCCAAATATAATATTCTGTAATGTTGAATATTTGTCGGTAAACGATGTGATTCCATTGAATCATGACTTCTTCGTTCGTGTTGGTCGAGCTTTTCCATTACTAAAGAATTTTCGTTTTCTAAATTATACGCTACAATCGTTAGCCGATCTTGATATGTTTTCAACTGGCAATAATCAACTGTACGAAATCGCTGAATATCCTCGTCTTCAATCACTTGACTTATTATGTGCAAGTGGGTGTTATGTTGAACAATTTCTTAATGAAAGAAAGACATATGCACCATATCTATCTAAATTAACAGTTGTTTTTAACGATTTAAGAAATGTAACAGAAGATTTTATGAGAGAAGATACACGGCGTAATTGTATCAATATCGAGCGACTAATTATGTTCATACCATTGGTTCATTCTAAAGGTTTCTATACTTATTTTCCTCTCTTGCGTATCTAATTGTATTTTGATCTATTGAATAAAGTGAAATAGCTAAAGAGATTCGTCTCGTAGAAAAATGACATTTAATGCGTAGATTAAACATAATCAGCAATCACTGCAGAAGAACATTATTCTTTCTACTAATACCTAGGGAGTAGAGAAGAGCATGGCTGGGCGATTAGATCGGATATAAATATTTTCAAGATAAATTTTACGTGTATAGTTGTTTGGAATACATAATTTACTTCAAGTAAGTTTATGGTCTCGTAAATGCTATTATTTAATTAAATTTCCGATACGGACTTCTGGTTAAAATTAGTTCTTACAATGTTATTAATAGTATGGTACCATTTTGATAGATACTAATTTAATTTGGTGTGCAAAGTTAAGCATACGTATGTTACTCTTTAGAACTAACTTTTGCGATGTCTTTCTTAGTTTAGGTAATCACAAACTGAGATAATTCCTTTGACTGTTACTTATTTTATAGAGACGATTCTGGTACTCAGAACCTTATAGCGAGCAAAAACTTCCACATTTTTTTCCTTGTAGATTCTAACGCTTTTGGGTAGCTCTTTTGAATACTTACTATTGAAACAATATAGTTAAAATGAAAAGAATAATACTAAACACTGAGATTACGATTGAGCGTGAATATGAAAGCCATTCAATATTAGTCTGCCATCTTTCCTATTGCTTACGAATGAATTACAATCCTTGAGTATCGTTCATATTTACAAAGTCAACATTATCTCCAATCGGTGAGCATCTATCATTAACACTTCCATCAAAAGATGAAGCAAAATTATCTTCAACTACAACACGAATGAAAAAGACATCATCACTATCCGAAATAGTGATTATCGTATGAGAAAGTTGGTGAAGAAGATCTGGTGAAAAATTTGCTTACATTTTCTATCATTTTGAGAGAAATTCATATCAAACTTTCTCTCGGTCTATACGAGAACCGTGTAAGACATTCTCCAAAACCATCTCAATTAGCAAAAGAAAGTCTTCGTTGGTTTTTGGAGAAATCGTGGATAAAAAGCTTCGAAACAAAGCTATGAAAGATTTCCGAGGAAAAATTGATTTTTCTCACGCATATATTTGTCTTCTTTGTATGAAATTAAAATAAAACTAATCATGCAACTCGTCTACAGGAAAACAAGTTTCTGGTAAATGAATTTGAGATTATAATTGACATTAATTTTCTCAATAATATTTTGAGTCTGGCAATTAGTTTCTCATCCAAATGCGTTTTCTAGATGGAATAGTCGTTAAATAAAAGCCAGTATGCTGTGATCTGGACGAAGCATAAATATGTATTAGTCCCTAAGTAGAGACTAATCTATTGATCACAAAATAGAATAAATGACAGTCGTTCAGATAATGCTGAGACCAGTTTATTGAAAGTTTAATCAAATATAAGAAAAGAAAAAGCTAACGAAAATCCATCCAATCTTTTCTGTATTGTTATAATTTCATCTAAGAATGATTAATATTTTCGTCATCGTTGAATCAGATAATTTGATTTGAAGGATTTTATTCTTTTTCCAATAAACTTTTCTTCTTTTTCTCTAAAAATCAAAAATATAATCAACCTTATTAATACCACCATCATTTCTTGTTTCCAAAATGTCAAATTCACATCCAAAGAACTGTCTCTCGCTATTAAATCATCAATTTCCTTTTGTATTTTTTTAGCCTGATTATCCTGCTTATTTGAAATTGATTTGAGTTGTTTTTCTTTTGTTTTAATTCCACTAGATATGCTCTGCTGTTCTCCTTGCAAGCGATCAACCTTTGACAAAAAGAAAATCAACTATTTTGTCATATCGGTACATATACGTACATCGGTATTCATATCTGTTATTTGCCGAAGAATGCCCTAAAGCAAATAAGATTTTGCTTTTGCATCATTTACTTATGAATTATGAATCAATCGTACCTCTGCCCAGGTGGACAAATCCCATACTCGGATCCCATGTAGGATTGCGTCGGATCCGAAACATGGATTTTCTAAGGGTCATCATAGAACCTAGCTAAAAATAACGCTCATAAAATTTGCAACAAATGACTGGATTTTTCCAGTCGCAATCCGATGCAATTCCGTCGCCAGGAATCCTATCGGTTCTCATCGGATCCAACGTCGGATTTGTTGACCTGGGTGCTGAATTCTCATCATCGTCAACATGCATAAGACCATAACCAGGATCGTTGCCATCCAAAATATTATCCATCTTTACAACATCATAGTCATCAGTTTTATTGATGCTCTACGAAAAACGAAAAATATCACCATTTTATTTTGTCTATCGTTTTCTTATCTTACTTGATCGTCCTCCATGGTTAATTTCGCCAGTCATGTGACAAGTTATATAATACGATTTCATTTTAAGTGCAAATTCACTAGAAGAATGAAAAAAAAAAGAAGAGAACTAAATTTATGCGATTCACTTCTCGAATATTGAACGTATGTGATGCATATAATCCTTCACTACGGAGTGTTATTCTTGTTTCCCAACAATAATGACAATGACAAAAGAATATCCAAGATGTCATTGTATTCTACTTGATTTATTCGAAAACTCATCTTGTTTATTCTGATCTTTCAGTTTTACCAATGGATCAGAAGATTAATCGACGTTATCTGGAACAATATAATAAACGTCAAATGCTAATAGCATGTCGAAATGCTTTGACCAACATTCATGAAAATGGCCATTTTATTTGCAAATTAACCGATACATTAACACGTTTTACCACTGGTTTAATCTATTTGCTCTATCGTTCATTCAAATCAATATGTATTCTTCGTCCATTTACACTTGATCCATCATCATCTGAACGATTTCTAGTTTGTTATCAATTACAATCTCCTGTCAATCAATCAATTATTAAACATCTCGATGATCTGTTATTGAGATATGAGAAAACAGAAGATATTCTCGAAGTTGTACCTGTTAAATGTTTGATTGAACCAGAGTTTCAACAATATATTGCTGATACAAGTCAACGCTTATTGCAAAGAGAAATTGAAGGTTTAGACAAATATCTTTGGCTAGTTGAAAATGGACAAGATCGAAAGGTTTTCTTTTGAATTGGTTGACATCGTTTATCATTTTTCTTTTCATAGATCGATCTGACAATGAGCAATGAAGATT